CCCCCCCCCCCCCTTCAAGAGCCATGTCACGCCGGGTGGCTCACCACCCATGCCCACATCCCTCACGGTTGTCCAGGGCTTGGCTTCCCCCGCGCTACTCCCGCTTGCGGCCCCTCTCAGACTCACACTCTCCTACATTGAGACCCATTTTTCAAATATACAGACATATATCCCTTTACTTCAGCACCATCAGCTCCTCCCTTGCCTCCACTGTTGTGTGGCATTCTTCAGATTAGTAGCACGAGCCAGCAGTCTGGCGTTTGGGGAGGGGGGAGGAGGAGGAGGGGGAGAGAGGACCGCTATAGCTGTGTATTCTTGTCCCGTGCGTCTCTCTGTGTCGGCCAAGGGGAGAGGGAAGGCGAGGGAGAGGACACGGTCAACGGTGGGAAGGACAAAGAAAGGGCAGGGGAGGCACGGCATCTCCCTCGCCGGGGAAAGGTAAGCCGGGGCTTTTCTAGTTGTTGCGGCGCTTGCGGGTAGAGGGAGCCGAGGTGCCGGCGGTGGCGGTAGCCGAGGCAGTGGCCTTCTCCGGCTGCTCGGAAGCCTCGACCGTGGCCGGCAGATCGGCCGCGATGTCGTCCATATGGAGCATGCCGGGAGAGGCGGCAGCCGAAGCGGCACCCCCCGGGCCGGGGGTGACGCCGATGACACGGAAGAAGATCCCAGCAAAAGCGAAGGAGGCCACAGCCAGCAGGCCGAAGCCGAAGAGCGACACCAGCCACTGGGGGAAGTGGTACACCTCGCGCAGATACTGGCTGAATTGCTGGATGAAGTGCGACAGGGGTATTGATGAGAGGCAGGTAGAGACAGTGCGGCTGTGCACTGGGAGAATGCGAAAGGAGGGGAAGGAGCGGCGAAGGTGGGGGGAAATGTGGCTACACAGCGAGGGCCCCGAAAACGAACCATGTAATAGGACACAACCGACAGGACGATGGAGATGGTGCGACCACTGCGAGCGAGAGAATGGCGAAGTGGAGGAGGGAGAAGATGTCGATGACAGTGTCAGCAGCGGGGCCACAACCGACCCAAGAATGACACCGAGGGGTAAGGATAAGGAGGAGGAGGAGGAGCAGCAGCAGCAGCAGCGATGGCCGAACATTCACGCACCCCCAGCCGAAGGGCGACCCGATGCCAGACCAGGGAGCCTCGTCATTGAGCCACTGCTTCTCCTCGAGGAAGACACGCAGAGCAGCCGGAGTCAGCGGGCGCGGATGGTACGCGTGGACCTTCTGGCCGAAATCGCGGACAATATACATGGCGGGGATAGCCGACACGCGGAACTGGGCCGCCGTGGCGAGGTTGGTGTCGAGATTGATGCTGTGTGCGTGTGTGCATGTTCGGTCAGTCGATCGGCCAGGCGCGTGAAGGCGTGAGCAACACATGCCCCTTCCCCCGTGCTGGATCCTCATCCTGTTGCATCCTCGCCCCCCCGGGGGGGGGGGGGGGGGCTGCCCCAGCAGCGAGGAGGCAGGATGAACGCGAGGGCGGCGCACCTGGCGAAGTGGACGTCGGAGTTGCCGGAGGCGGCAAACTCCTCGGCAAGAGACTCGATGCTGGGAGCGAAGCGGTGGCACACGCCGCACCAAGAAGCATGGAAGGTGACAAACCAGGTCTTGTCGGAGTGGGTGAAGAGATCATTCACCTGGAAGGGATTCTCCAGCTGAACAAAGGCCGGGCCGGTGAAAAGGGGGGCCAGGGCCTTGGCGGCGGCAGCAGCATCGACATCGGCATCGATGGGGGCACCGCCATCGGTGGTGGTGGTGGTGGCAGTGGTAACCACAGCATCGTCAGCGACCCCGTCAAAGTCTGCCTGCGGGGCGGCCAGAGCCGACACCAGCAGCAGACAGAGGAGGGCCACGCCGGCGAGGAGTGACCGGAAAGCCATCATACTAAAGGAGGAGGGGCGATTTGGGGTGCGAGAAGGGGAAGAGAGAGAGAGAGGGGGGGGGGGGGGCTTGAGAAGCTGGCGCCTTTCTGTGTCGGGGCAATCAGCCTGCCTGCCGATGAATGCAGATCTGGCTCCCGCGTGTGCAATGTGCCCTTGGCCCTGCCCGCGGTATGCCCAGGACAGGAGCCAGGAGGGCTAGATCGGGAACTGGAGAGGGGGGGGGGGGCGAATTGGAACTGAACCACGCCGCCGCCCAGATGGCACACACAGCATCCGGATGCGTGGGGGCGAGGGGGTCGGATGTTGCCCTGCCGGCTTGGGCGGCTGCCACCCCCGCCGCCCCCCTCCCCCCGGGTTGGATCTGGGCAAGGAAGACAGATGAATATTCTGGCAGTGCAGTGCCATGTGATTGGTCACATGCGATATCACACCACCAAGACATGGTCGGACACGAGCGCCGGTCCTCCCTCCCATCCCGCCGTCGGACTAGACCGCGGCCCCGGGGACCTGTTGGCTTGTGGTTCCCTCCTCTTTCTTCCCGTCCCCCCATGTGCCCGCTCTCGGATGCTTCTCCGTGCGCGATGGGCGGCTCGGAGGCATGTGGGATCGGCACAGAAGCACATCACAGGCGCTGCGCCGGAGGAGGCGGTCTTTTTTGTTGAAAAATAACTGGTATTTGCGTCTGAAGGGAACCGGAGTGAGAGAGAGAGAGAGAGAGGCAGAGCAGCAGGGCATTCGCGACAAGGAGGTACAAGGGACTTCGACTCCATGTCAAAACAAGGGCGGAGGAGCGTGAAAGAGGGGCAGCACGGAGGACATGTGTTTGTGTCTGCATGCCGGGTAACGGGGGGGGGGGGGCGCGACTCAGAGCGGGAAAAGGCGAAGATGGAGAAGAAAGGGGTGGAGAGGGAGGGCGGGGAGGAATACAGGTGCCTCGCGGGAATGCCTGTCCACCCTCCTCACGGGCGCGCAGACACATGCAATTAGCCCATGCTCATGGAGGCGAAGGTCTTCTGGAATTCGGCGAAGCGAGCCACCTTGTTGCTGAGCTCGGCATTGGCGGCCTCCAGCTGGGCGACCTGCGACTGCCAGAGGTTGGCGTTGGCCGTGTTCTCAGCAAGGGCCTTCTTCAGCTTGTCGATAGCCTGGACATGGACCTGTGCTCAGGCAAAGGAGGGGGAGGGGAAAGCAGCATTATGCATGTGAGTATGCCGGGTACATGTGTGTGCGCGCGCGCGCGCGCGCGCATAATGTGAGGGGGCCTGGTGAGAGGGGTCCGCTGTGGGGATGACGAGCGACACTTAGACCGGCGCCGAGGCGGTGATGGCACGCACCTGGTTATCCATGGTGAGCTGGTTAACCTGGGCCTGGAGCTCCTTGATCCGGGCCTGAAAATGTGGACACACAAATAAATGTGTGTTTGTGTGTGTGTGTGTGTGCGCGCGAGCGGACAGGTAAGTCATCATGACGAGCAAAGGAAAGGAGGAGGCATGTCCATGTGAATGGCGAGAGAGAGGGGGGGGGGGCATGAGAGACGCACGTCGGTGGCCGGGTCAACCATGCCTCCAACCGACTGCTGGGGCTGCTGAGGCTGCTGCTGCTGCTGCTGCTGCTGCTGCTGGTTCAGGTGCATGCCGCCGAAGGAGCTGGTCAGGGAGCTGACCTGGCCCGAGGGGGAGACCTGCTCCTGCTTTGGCTGCTGCATGCCGTGAGCTATTTTCATACACACATGTATGTGTATATATGTGTGTGTGTGTGTATATGCGTATGCCATGGGAATCGGGATGAGGGTCAGTTTCGCGTCTTGCTGCGTGTGTGCAAGTGCGGACTCCCCGGCCTTGCGGGTCGGGCCCGGACCGCTTACAAGGCCTCGGGAGGGGGGCTATGCAAAGAAAGGGAGGGGAAGGGGAGCGCACCATCAGGCGAGGCACCCATCCCCGGAGCAGGGGCACTCATGGCCGGCTGAGCGGCGCCATCCTTGACGGTGGGCTTACGACCCTCGGCCGCGTCAGCGAAGCAGTCCGCAAACTGGCGGGCATCCTGGACGCTGGTGAAGTTCAGGCCGTGAGTCACCTGCGACACGTCGCAGAACCACTGGCCGAAGGTGTGGCTCGGCAGGAGAAAGGTCATGCCCGGGGTGATGGGGGAGTTGATCTTGGCCACACCGCCGTCCATAGCCACGATGCGAGTGGTGTTGTCGGAGGGGTCAAACCAAAAGCCAACCGAGATGATGTTCGAGGTGGCGGACTCCCAGCTCTGGGAAGAGAGAGTGTAGGGCTGAGCCTTGACAGTGAACACGTTCTCTTCGCTGTGTGGTTGCCGTCCAGTGGCGGAGGAAAGGAGGAGGGGGGGGGTTAGGGCGGGACAGACAGAGAGGGAGGGAGCGGGCGGATTTGAGGGATGAGGATAGATGTGGCAGGGAGCAGGAGCGCAAGGAGGCGAGGAGATGGAGGGCGACGCACACAGCCATATTTAAAATCAAAGGGGGGACTGGGAGCGCACAGACCGCAGGCAGGAGGGAGGGGAGGCAGGAAGGGTGTCAGGCAAGTGGCGGTAGAGCAGGGAGGGCACGAGCAGGAGCGGCAGTGGTGGTGGTGGTGGCGGCGGCGGCGGCGGTGGCGGCGGCGGCGGCGGAGGTGGCGGAGACGGAGGCGACGACAGCGCACACTGTTCGCAAACCAGGTGGTGTGAGGACCGGCAGTGAGGAGCTTCCCCGGGACAGGGAGCAAAAAGGCGGGGGGGGGGGAAGAAGGGGTGGAAAGGGATGGGGGACGGAGGGGGCTGGCGAGGGGTGGGCCAGGCTGGGGACCAGCAGGCCGATGGGCTGGTTGAAATGTCTGGGACCGCCGGGGCAGGGGGAGCGTTCTGGACACAGGGGGCAACCGGGCGAGCGAGTGGGCGCGGGCGGGATGGGGGCAGCTTCGGGCGCTCCAAAACAAATGCCCAGGGGCGCCTCCTGCTCGCATCGGGCTGGACCCCTCCGACCACCCGGGGGGCGGGGGGGGGGGGGTGGAACGGGGGCGAGCAGCGCCCGGGAGACCGAGCGTGCGAGGGCGCAATATAGCCCCCGGTGCTTGGAGGCCCGGACGCGGGGTACAGGGAGCCTGGCGGGGGGGGGGGGGGGGGGGCCCCCCGGCGGCGGGGGGCCCCCCGCCCCCCCCCCCCCCCCCCCCCCCCCCCCCCCCCCCCCCCCCCCCCCCCCCGGTGGGCCCCCCCCCCCTGTCCCCCCCCCCCCCCCGGGGGGGGGGGGGGGGGCTGCCCCAGC